ATATTCATTTTTCTTTAACACATTTAATACAAAAAAATCGGAACTCCCGGAGTATGTGAACCAAGATAGCGGACACCAGAACGTGGTATGTGTAACAGGTTGGGGTTTGGCCATAATTTTAGGTACAAATACTACGGGAGGCACTTGGCTAGAAAAATTGGAATAAAATTATTCCCGAACTCTAATCTGGTATACATACTAAGTGTCCGGTGTCCGCCATCTTGGTCCACATACTACGAGAGCGCCTGCAAATAGTACAGCCATTTTAAACAAAACATGCAAAAAATGAATTTAATTGAAACAATTGTTTGAAAAAAGTTCTTTTTGAACAAATCCCTACACACACTACGGTACCTGATTGAGTACTTTGCAGTTTGCACGTTCCGTAATTTGACAGTATAGGCCTATATTTAGCGAGGTTTGATAGTAAAATGGAGACAAATAAACAACAAAGTATTATCCAGTTCTTCCAAACGAAACCCAGTGGTGAAAACTAAGTTAGTGGTGTTGATAGGACAGATGAAGAGACTGCTACTTCAACTTTACAACATGCCCCGAAACGACCTTTTAGCAAAGTTGATATGGATCTGGTATGATAAGAAGTATTTGGAGCTATAAGTTTCACCATTGCTCCCAGCAGCAAAAAAGTACCGCTTCCCATGTGCAAAGTCTGCGCCAAAATTCTTTCAAACTATGCAATAAAACCCGCAAAGCCAACGCAAAAAATAATATCAAAAAGACAGCCGCAAATTTCTCATTAGATTGGATTGTATTCTTTTGCACCTCCTACTTTTGTCGTAATTGAATTCTTTTGATTATGTTTGTGTTCATGACATTTTTGGTTAATTTTGAAGGTCCGCCGGTCCGCGAAATTTGTTTTGAAATTTTACCGGTCCGCGAACTGAAAAAGGTTGAGAACCACTGGTCTGAAGTATAAACTGACTGATGACTCAAATAAGTGTACCTTGAAACGCAATTATCTTTTGCGCCACACATCTAGCTTGTTTAGCGAGGTATGTAAATTATCGAAGGTGAAAATGAAAGTAAATGAAGCATTAAAAGGAACTTTGTACTGAACGCTGAACTAAAACTAAATCAATACCGAAGAAATTTTGCAAACAAACCGAGAAATTGCTGATTATTATGTAGCAGCGTTGTATATGATATTGACTGTATATGTATATGCTATTGTCTGTCATATGTCACCGGCTGTATGTGCATATGACATTGGCTGTATATGCATATGACATTAACGTTATTTGCATATGTCATTTGCTGTATAATTATATGACATTGGCTGTATACGATATTGGCTGTATGTGAGCTGTATATACATGTATGTATAATTGGTTGCTTCTATATGCATATGCTCTGGCTGTAGCCTTGGCTGCGGATGCATATGACATTGACTGAATTTGTATATGATACGGCTAATTGGTTGGCTCTACATGCATAAATGTTAGGTGTCTATGCATATGACGTTGACTTTGTGAAATATATACCATGGATGTACCGATATGTCGGTGTCTAATATCGGCATCTAGAATATCATCCATTTTTTCTATTTTTCCAACTTGTGATATAAATTAGCGGGTGTGTTTATGTGAGAATGAATGGAGCGATAAAATAATCCAAAAACTAATATAAAAACTAATCGAGCTGAGTTTATTCCGAATTGAATGTGTTAAATTTATCAAAGAAGTGAAGTTTGTGTTTGGTACATCTGCATGCATTGAATTTGGCGATGGAAACTTATTTCGAAAGCTCTCGGAGTCTGCGTTGAAATTTCTAACTTTTCGACCTTTAATAGAAAACATACGATACATATATTCAACTGGTAAAACATGATCGCATTCTGAGTTTTCTTAGTCATTGTTTAGTTACGTGGTTTTGTACCGAAGATGAAAGTTGAAGCTCAATAGATATTTTATTTCCTTCTCTAGCGTAAATATGCAGCTTGTCACTTGTGTTTATTTGTCTACATTATCTCATGGCACTTGCATTCATGGCCGATAATGAATATATATATATATATATGCATATTTGTAGAATTTAAATATTCTGTTCAATGTTTTGTTACTCATTGCTTAGGATGAGATTCCATAAATTTCATTTTAAATTCCACAAGGTTCCTTCTAAACAAAACATTAGAGATAAACCTCCATATTATAAACGTGAGAAATATGTAATCTGCACTTTAGCAGTTTTAAATTAAACAGTTTTAACAATTTTAAAAATGTGCGCCTGACACTATTAAAACTAGGGGAATTATTTTTACAAAAAGTTTTATCATAGTAACATAAATCAAAGGAAAAATAGAAAACATGAAAATAGTTATGAATTAAATTTTACACACAAAAGACTCACTTACTTTAGTAATCCTTCAAGTATTTGACTATATCTATCAAAATAGGACAATTGGAGAAATCTCCGACATTAAAATTACTATCCCAAAAAGGGTCCCCAAAATATGGCTGCTTTTGAATGGCTACTTGGATTTTGCAGTTGCTTTTTTTCATAGACTGTCAACATTCAACTTACACTGGTTCTGCATTTTATCCTGTAATTGGAGCTTAATAGTAAGGATAAATTTATTTTAAACCAATCGATTTAAATGAACTTTGTATCTGTTCTGTTCAAAATAACTGTTTTATTTGTTTCTTTTATAATAATTAGATTAAAACATGACATGTCATTAAAAAACGATGTTATCATGCCTACGTCTTTTTTCTTTCTATTTTTTGTATCTGCAACCATCCTCGATCATGATCTTAATAATATAAAAATTAGAAAGTTAATTATAAACATATTCGTGTGATTATTTCTAGCAAATGGAAATAAAAAAAAAACTAAATAAGTTTTATACTTTCTTATCTGTTGATACTCGGTTTTTGCGTTCATCCATTCCGCAGAAACGTCTTGTTGGCAAAATACTATAGTTTAAAATTTTCACATACAAAATGAGATTAAAAATAATATTTCGGATAAATAATTCTTTGATATTACTGGATTATAAGAGAATCTAACAAAAACTGGAGTTTATAATTATAAAGAATACTTTATTTGCGGTATCACATGATTGAGTAAGCAGATGAATTCAAACATGTAAAATAGATCACATTGAACTGTGTGAAATATTCCACCCTGTGTTATAAGATTCATATGTATTTTTCTTTGTTGTATGTATATGATTACGACAAACAATACCTGAAAGAATGCTCGAGGGCACAGGTTACTTCATTATACATACCCTGTATCGCACAACTTTACACGACCACTTGTTGGTAATCTTGGTTAGCAGATGTTAACGAACATATTTCTTTTGGTCTGTAATTAGTTGGGCAATCCGGTTTTTAAGTATCGATGTGCTCATGATTATATACCAGAAGAAAATTTATCAAACATTCAATTTTTACAAAGAATAACTATAGTACAGTACTATATAGGTACATTATTACACTTTTTAGTGCCTTCAAGGATAATCATTTTGAAATTCTTTCAAACTAAGCCAGTAATACCGATAAGTAACAAGACTTTTCGACATAATTTTTTTTATATTCTTTTACTTAATGGTTGAGAACCGAGTTTTTTAATGTTTCGATCAATAAATATAAATTTTAAAAAACGCTTTGATACAAGTACAGATAATGAACAAACACAGATGCCTCATTACATTTTAAAACAAGTGATATTGGATTGAACGGGCTATAGAATCAAGTAAAAATTTCATCTGACTACCAATATTAACTTCGGTACTAAACTACAGAACAACACGATGAGTACGAAAGCTTACTGATGATATCATATCTAACGTGTCAGGACTATTGGGAGTTAGTTGGACATTACAATGCAGAATTCTAGCACGTTAAAAAAACAGGACTCCATTTCTTAATTTGAAGCCTTGCAGGTTACTCAAAACACAATGTTAATTTGGAAGCCACAGTTTACTGAATTATTTGTTAGCCTGTGTTTTTTTGTGCATATGACCGAACTGGTATTTCTTTTAATTATATTTTTATGGCATTTTAGTGATTGACGAATTCTCATGAAACGATGATTACTATTTAATTATATTTTGCACTAGATTTAATATCTCATAAATTGCTGTACATAATGATGACAATAATAACATTGATCCGTATTATTGTTTTTAACGACATTGCAGAGTTTGCCCGCCGGTGAAGACATTATTAAATTCGGAATACCACCAGTCCGATTAGTTTTATGTTCATTTCGGAATGGTTTATTCTTGCATAAACACTAGTTCGTCCCCGCAAAATTATATCACGAGTTGCGGCTTCTTCGTACTTGGAAGAGTTGAGTTGAACTTGAATAAACCAAAAAATGATAACGTACCGTGTCACTTGTTTTTCTTGTCTTTATAAATTAATAAAAAATAAAGATTCGCAAAGTTCCATGTTGCTATAGTAAATCGGAACTCATAATTTATATCACAAGAATTGTTTAATTTAAGTATCATGACTTCAAGTACCAGAAATCGCCATTGAGACAGGTAAATACGAATATGATTTTAATCTATTTACAATTACGTATATTTGATCAAAACATATTTTGATATATATATATATATATATATATATATATTGATGTTATGTTAAAATAGTAAAATCTACTGTTTTATCAAGATCAATCAAGATAATATTATGACCTGCCTTTTAACAGTAACTCCCAAAAACGGACGCAACTTGCTATTTATTACACAACCATGTCTGGCGTTATATATTTAATAAAATAATGTTTATATCAATACATCCGCCAAATGACGATTAGGTATCATAAAATGCTTAATATAAATGATGATACACGAAAGCAACTGCTGGAAATTAAAGTTTTCTCCGTTTCTGAGAATTGAACTTGCAAAACAAGTTTTGCAATAACTGTTTGTCACACAATTACAAAACTCGCCCGCCGGTAAAATATTTTGTATATATATTGCAGAAATATTCGTTAACTCGTCAGTTGGGTTTAATAACTTAGCGAACGTGTTGGCCAACAGGTATATTGCAGGAAATATTTCTTCACTTTTTTGCAGCAAGTCATGTAAATATTAGTGAGTACCTGTCTTCTATTATTATAGTACATAAAATCGTAAGATTGAAAAAAAATGTTTGTAAAATAATTGAATGATATTTTCCTTAAACTTTCAAATTCTTCATTTGATTTGAAAAACGACAATTGGACACTTGAAAATGTTGAGTCATAAAGCAATGCTCTGCACTAAATCATCCGGAAGACATGGTCAAATTATCATGTTTATTGTCATAGTTCTGAAATCAAATCGACAGATTGTCTCAAACGTCATCAGTTATTGAGATTTTTTCACTTGAACTGTACATTTCTTTATTTTTTATTTATGATATTCATTTTCTTCATCATACTTTGTCTAACATTTAGTATTAAATTACTGCACACCATGAAGATTCTTTTCTTTGTATTTTTGTCAGTTACTTTCCAGCTATCATACGGTGAGTTAATTTTAATAAAGTATAAGGTCATATATTTGTGCTGGAAAGTTTGAACAATAAAATCGCACTCAAAATTTCAAAGAGCATTACTTTTATAAATATCAGAGTTAAATATTCGAAAAAATATTTTAGAGAAAATTTTTTTTAAATCAAAATTCAAATGTTTTCGACTGTATGCATTTAATTGTATTTGATAAACGACGAACTAATAATCCGTCTTAAAATACGATGTACTGCTTTAGACATGCTCTTTACGGAAACATTCAAATAAATGTTAATCCGGAATAATTTCACCTTATATAGCAAACTCGTTTTTGCTCGAATCACTCGATGTGTTTTATTGTTAGATTGCTATTTTTATCCGACACAACAATTTTGTGGCTCAAAGTATTATATTTGGTCACAGACTTTCCGATTTTTAAATTTATACGATTGTGAAGTGTTCAAATTTTTTCAAATCGAAAGTAATTTTGGCGATTTTTCTCACGCAATTTTTTAAGAAATTGTGGCTAATTTGTCAGTATCCTTGGCCTACCCCATAAAAACAATAACAATATTCAAATAACAATTACAAATAATCATATATTATTTAAACAGGCCACTATTTTTATTTTTTAAGCACACTCGTCATGCCCTGTGGAAGGAAGCGTAGAATATATGAATAAATGCTTCTGGGTTACCATGGCGCCAACATCGGCTGGCGTTAATTACGATAATGCAAAAAAACTATGCGAAGAAAAGAACGCTAATCCAGCAAACATTTACAGCGAAAGTCATTACAATTCCATCATGGCCTACCTTCGCAAAGCTAGAGGAGATTTCTACTACGTTTATCTTGGAATGAAATATGACGTAAGCTTTATTTTATATCATATACCCATTTATTCTTCAAGTTTATAATCATATTCCAATTTCCGATATTTTTTTTATCGCGGGTGTTCCGTTTTGCACTTTAGAAATCAAAATTGAAAAATTATGACGGAAGTGCTGCATTATATGTGAAATGGAGATCCGGTGATCCGATAACAGTCGTGGCAGCTATGGTCCCTATGACACAGGTTGCAATAGATATTTTTCCCGATCAAACAAACGGCGGTAACGGAATGCTTACATCATACGAAGGGTGGAAGAAAAAGGGAGTTGTATGCGAGGCACCAGGTAATATCTGACGTCATTCACATTAATAAGCCGAACTTCATGTAAAATGTTTATTGAATTTCCCAATACTAAATGAAAAAATGTTTAAAAATTATAACAACCAGCTAAATTTGAATTGAACTATAGAGCCTTGACAACTAGCTCCAAAGAAAATTTGGAAAATATCTTTCTCACGACTTCTTCCACATACAAGATCTGGGAATTTAAAATCAATTGCACCCATTAGTTGCAAAGATTTCGAAAACCCCAACAACAACAACAATTCGGTAAAACGATGTGTCCAATAAGTTATTGGTATTCTTTTTATTGAGTGTTTATATATACATATTCATTTATTTCAATACAGTCATCGAAACTTCAGCATCTGTTTGCTTACAAGACGATCAACACTTTACCCGTGGAGATCAATGCTTTTACGTAAAAATGTCGCCAACTTCGCACGGTGTTAACTATGCAGAGGCTGAGAAACTTTGCCTAGACGACAATGCATTTCCAGCAAATATCTACGACGCCAAACATTACGATGACACAATGAATCACCTAAGAACAACAAACCACAAATTTCATTACGTTTACCTTGGAATGGATTATACGGTAAAAACAGTTTTAGATTTCTGTTGCCGGGTGGGTGTTTCGTAAACCCTCGAAACTCAAATTAATTTGTATACAATATTACTTGGTATAATGCTTTGAGCTTTTAAACCACCTTTTGTAATATTTTACGCTACTCCCCCGATTTGTACACGAAGTATGCATGTGAATTTTCATGCTAAATTGATGTTGATATTATTGTTGAAAAGGAACTGTCCATATAATTTGGCCCATTTGTAGTAAAATTTTCTAAAATATATTTAGAATAAAAATTTGAAATATTACGATGGATCAAAGGCTTCATACGCTCACTGGCGCAGTGGAGATCCAGTAACAGTAGTAGCCAGTGGCGAATCAATGGACCGCGTTGCGATTGATGTTTTTCCAGATGCGTCATACGTTGGAAACGGCATGCTAACTTCTGCTGCTAACTGGGGCAAGAATGGAGTGATTTGTGAAGAATACACAAGTAAATCATTTTCTTTCTTTTTCAACAAACGAACTAGGTAGTATATTTTTTCTGTTACGTCAAATGACAATTTTGTTGAGTGATATCAGTGTTCACTGATAAACATATCTATCAAAATTTATCTTTAGCGTTGTTTTCCAGGCCATGCTATCTTGAGTTCACCCAAAATATAGTTTTTGAGGATTGCCTCAGAGATCACTTATGTCTTATGAATACACAAAATAGCATGGTTTAACATTTTAATCATAAAAACAAGTACAAATCATCATCGAGTTTGTAAGGTACGCGTCCAATAGGATTGGAAATAATGTTAGACGTTTTGATGTCGTACGTAGAGTACTTGCCTTGCAATAAGCCACAATAACTAATCAATCAAATTTTTAGAGCGTTGCGTTGACCAAGCAAATCACATTTTGCATGGAGATTCGTGTTTTTGGGTAGAAATGACGCAAAAAACACCTGGTATTAACTACGAAGAAGCAGAAAAACTTTGTCGTGTCAAACAAGGTACTCCGGCAAATATATACGATGCTGAACACTACTCCAATGCCATGTCACTACTGCGAGAAGCTAATAATATGTATTACTTTGTTTACCTGGGAATGAGTTACAAGGTAAATAACTACTAATTTTTTTAGTGTGCCGTTTAGCTACTCAAATCTAGACCAGTGGATTGGTTCGGAATTTCAGGGCTGGGGAGTTTGAGTTCAGAGTTATCAAATAAACTAAAATTGTTGAAATTCACTAAAAATTGTTAGGTTTTTACGTTCGTTGAACTCATAAATGCACGTGCACCTCACTCATTAACTAACCAACATTTTAGAATGAAAAACTCACGTATTATGACGGAAGTTCAGCTTCATATGCTAATTGGCGTTACGGAGATCCAGTGACCGCTGTGGCAAGCGGAGAACCAATGATTCAAGTTGCTATTGACGTTTACCCAGAATCCTCAAACAGTGGTAATGGAATGTTGACTTCTGCTCCAAATTGGGAAAAGAAAGGAGTTTTGTGTGAACAAAAAACCCGTAAGTGCTTTGAAAGTTTTTGTACTATATTTATCTATAGAAAAAAAAAATGAGATATAGCATTTATATGAAAAGAAATAAATTCGAATAACAAAATACTCGAATTGGTACATTTTCACCATGCGATTATTTTTTAATCCAAGATCGCTGCCTTAACCATGAACATCACTTAACACGAAAATCATCCTGCTTTTGGGTGGAAATGGCGCCTAAATCGATGGATCCTGGAGCCAACTTCGAAGAAGCCGAGAAGCTTTGTCGTGATAAAGAAGGAACTCCTGCAAATATATATGATGCCGAGCACTACTCTGATACCATGTCGCTGTTAAGAAAAGTTCATAAATCTTATTACTTCGTTTACCTTGGAATGGATTATGAGGTGAATTATGAATATCAATTTAATAGCAGTGTTGGATAGAAGTCCCGAATTACAAGTCAAGTCAAAGATAATCTGAATGTCGAGTCAAGTCCGAATCCAAAGTCGAACAAATCACCAAGTTGAGCCTTATTGAGGTTTAGTTGAGGACGATTCATATTCATTCCATTTGGAAGACTTGAGTCAAATACAATCTTCAATAACTGGTCACTTGAGGCATATTCCATCAGAGCACTCCCCCATAACACTTGATATTGGCTCGCGTCAACTATAACACAAATTATAGATTTCAAATTCTTCAGTACTTAACTTTACATGAATCGCATCATTCCTGCAATGCAAGTGCAATTGTTTTTCCACAATATAAAATAGTAGCCTATATCTAGATTATATTCAAAAATCTGTAGTTATCTTCACTTGACAAAACCTAAAAATGAACAACAAGTTTCAACACTATAATCAGGAAGAAGATGATACTCAATTTTCATTCTATTCATTTGAATATTTACCCGATTTGGTTAATAAAGATATTCATAACAGTCTCATAAAATTGAAATATTATGAATTAAACATGCTCACGTATACTTCAATGTGAGCAGCCTTTACCGTTATACATATAAATTTCAATCTAGAATCAGAAACTCAAGTATTACGATGGAAGTCCTGCACCTTACGCTAAATGGCGTAACGGTGATCCAGTCACAACTGTGGCCAGCAGAGAACCAATGATTAAAGTTGCGATTGATGTTTATCCCGAAGAATATAACAGTGGCAACGGCATGTTGACTTCTGCGCCAAATTGGGAAAAGAAAGGAGTTGTGTGTGAACAAAAAATTAGTAAGTTTATTTGTAACTAAACTTTTCAGGAAGAGATCGGCGCATTCAATGTGGTTTATTCGATCTACATATGTGATTTCAAAAGTTCCCAAATTTCTTTTACGATTTTAATATTAGACTTCCAGTGAACTTATGGATCGTTTTTCTGAATGGCTCCTTCTAGGGATGGAGAGGTTGGGGTCAACTCATGGATGGATCAATTTCAAATGTGTAGTACCTTAAAATGGTTGACGCCTCTTGAAAGCTAATACGTTGAATTTGTGCAAACTTCCCCTGTGTATCATGAAATTTAATATTCATCACAAATTTTATTGTTTGAATTCATAGAACACTTTTTAAAAATTATAGAAACACGGTATTATTAGATGTAAAAAACAATCTTAGACCGTACTATTACAGATTGATAAATAAGGCTCATATCAATTGGGCAAGTAAGTCGCATAGTCACAATGTTGGCTTAGCAGTCTAGCTGAGCACAGAGTTTGCTTGAGTATATATTGGTGGATAAGCATAACGAAGGCAGCCACGAGTGGAGGAATAACAATATATATATATACACATATGTACAAATATATACAAATTTAAAAGCAACATTGATGAAAAAGTTTTAACTCTTTATTTCTACAGATCCATGCCATGGTTTGGACAAATACTTCATGTGGGGTGATAAATGCTTCTGGGTTGATATGGCCAATGAATCGGGCATGTTCGTCGGCTACAATTTCGCCGAATCGGAAAAAGCTTGCGCTTCAAAACAAGGAACTCCGGCAAATATATACGATGCCGAACACTACGCAAAAACCATGTCTCATTTGAGAGAAGTCAAAGACGAATTTTACTACGTTTATCTTGGAATGGATCATAAGGTGAGAATAATATACATTTCGACAAAACTTTTTGAAGACAAAATACATTGAACAACACCACAATAAACGACACAAAAGACCAATAGTGTCAATCAATCTCAAGTAAACCAAGATATTGCAAGGACAAGTTAAATAACTAACAATTTTGTCACTTTTAATCTCAAATTTACTATTGAATATTGAAAACACGATAGCAATGTAGGCAGGTTCTAGATATTTAGACAGTACCATTCAATGAGATACATCTATTATTATTTGTGATAAACGTTAACTTATTACTGAGTATTTAAAAAAATGATTTCGATGTAAACTGAAGATTAAAAGTGAATTACTGAATGACTACCATGATAAATATGGCCTGTTGACACGGGAACAGCATTAAAAAGTATGCAAAGTAATAAGGCTCCCGATGCGATGACTGTTGCTAAATCGGTAAATCACCTTGTATCTATTTGCTCATCTGTTTTGTATATTTAGGGAGGAAATTTGAAGTATTACGACGGCTCGACCGCTTCCTACGCCCACTGGAGACCCGGTGATCCTCGTCCGACAATGAGAGACGATGAACCAATGGACAAAGTCGCCATTGACGTGCATCCAAATCCATCTGACCCGAGGAACGGAATGCTGACTTCTGTACACAGCTGGGAAAAGAAGGGTGTTGTCTGCGAACGTTAAAATTTGATTTAATACCAGGATAAATTAGACAAAAAATGGACTGAAAGAACTTTTTAATTTTTATGGGTGTGTAATCAAAAGCTTATTAAATTATCGCAATGTGGATAATAATAATAAGCTCATAAATTACTCTTATACATTTTCAATTTGCTTTTATCAAAATTCAAAACAAAGCATTAAATTTAAATTCTCAAACAACTTAAACAGAATGATTCTATAAATAGTTTTACAACCAAAAGTTATAAGGTTCTACTTCTTGGTGATTCTTTAGGATAATTCTGTTAACATAAGCTATGGCGACGGGTGTTGTCTTTCATTGTGGGCAATAGTTAGCTAAAAACAGTTCCAATCTAGTGATCCACAACTTGCTTGACTCAATTTGACATGACTAATAAGCATAAGTTTTGGTGGCAAAAAATATAAAAAAAAATGGATACAATGCTTGATTTCTTGAGAATAATTTGGATAAATCAGCATAGTTTCGTGAATGAGTCAGAAAATAAATAAGGGGTAATTTTCGGAATACAAGTGGTTCTTTATCATTAAACAGGTGCTTTTACACTTCAATTTATTTTTCAATTTAAACTCAAAAAGTCTTTCAACCGATTTACGTAAATTAGCAATTGTGTGTAGAACTGAATTAAAGCATCACGGTTAATTAATGCTAAATAAGAAGTAAATCAATCGCAATTTATTACTCCTTCGATGAGGTCGGTGAGAGACGATCGTCTGTAGATGCACATTTAAGCACCATATTTGTGAATCTGAACGCAATGTCTTTGCAAAAAGCGGAATCGAAGTACAGCACTCGGCTATCACGAATGTAAAAGTTAAAATACGCAAATAATCCCATGGAAAATTCTTTATTATTTTCACATTGTGTGCTATCTATCGATTGTTGTCTGTCTATGTGTACGTTTAACTGTCTGTCTGTTCAGATGTAGCATCTAAACGGCAGGATCAATCTGAATGAAATTTTTCACGTGGATTATCTTGTCAGAATGTACGTTTCATAGAAAGTCCGGATTAATGTTTGGTTTCCATGAAAACAACGAAAAAAAAAACGCGCTGATCGTCATAAAATTTCCAATTATTTCACAATTGATCGCCGTTTCTTGATCGCCGACTGACTACCTTCCGCAAAAGTAAATACTCTTTCGAACAAGTCGTCCTTCTAATCGATACTTCGTAGAGTGGGGAAGCCTTAGGGATGTTAGTGAACATTATTTTAATTATTAGCTTCAGTATATCACTAACGCAAGAATGTCTACGAAACGCGCACCGCTTAAATGAACTGGTAATTTCGGTAACCCGCTCTCTTAATTAATAACGCTGTCGTTACAGATCCGCGAGTTATCATGCATGGAACCGGTTGCATGAGTGCGGGCCGGAGATCTTGGGCTGTTACAAATTATAGTGCGTTGCGTTTGCCCGCCGGTGACAACAATAAAATAAATTAAACTGATGTCCACAGACATTCACCGTGACATCAATTGAAATTTAAACTTCAAAGAAAACGAAGGCATGGACTTGGGACTCAATTCATCTAGAATCATGAATTCTAGACTCGAAGACTTGTAACAAAACGTGTAGTCAGCGCTTAGACTCAGCCGGTGGTAACCGAAAAGTCAAGAGACAAGCAGTTGTTTCATGCGTTTGAGAGGTAACCTATTGCATAGGGCTGAAATATATAACATTGTGCCATTTCCTATATCAATCACATACATTCAGTAAGTTTTCATTCAACACCAGACAATGTGAGAATGACAGAAAATGACTGAGACTATATGCAAATTTCTGAAGCATATAACACCTTCAGTCGTCACGAATGTCGTTTTGACTTTCATCAATAGAAAGTCTGTGATATGGCTCGAACAAATTATTTATGTGCAGTGATGTCTAGCGAACATATTAACATTCTACTCACCAGAGCCTTCCTGTTTTAACACGTTTTTCCTCGCCGCGAACGCTGTATGATCAGTTTCAGGTATTTGAGTGGGACTGACAAAGAGCTAACGTATCATATCAGCTATAAACTCTTTTTCACATTTTAGTCTAAAATGGTTTAGAAATTCACTAGATACTGCATTGCAAAGAAAAACAGAGATAATATTCTGATAGTTGTCAGGGAATATTTCGTGTACTATAATCACATTACATCGCTTCGCCTGCGCAAGGTTTTAGCATCGTGATAAAACTAATACCACAGCAACAAAAAATACTACCTTACGCCGAATATTTCAATCATTTCTCATTCCTAAATGTTCTTTCACCTTCACCAAGTATCACTAAAACTGTACCTACCCAGCCCTCTACGACAAAATCAATAACTTGCTACATCTTTTATTAGCTACATTTGTCATAAAAGCGATATGGGTATAGATATGGCCTGGAATTTAAAACAACAGTAACGTGTTCAATCAAGAATATTAATGAATTGGAATGTATACATGTTAGATGTGATGTTTTACCATTTTTAGCCCTTACGGCTCTCGAAGAAGGCTCGGTATAAACTGAAAGTTATTATATGTTAAAACAAGAAGCATATGCTGGCTCTCTAACAAGTTGAAGTTTTTTTTTAATCTTAAAAAGTGTTTATATATAGGACTTTACCCAACGTAAGGTCTACAAAGGCCGGCAAAACGAGCACACCCCCAAAAGGGTGAAATCGTGGAATTCGACCTGCAGTTTATTCAGACAAGTATAAAGCCATTTAAGCGCTTCAATCAATCGAACTTGATATGAGGCGACACTCGACATAACAGTGCCAGTACCAATTTAGCTGCAGAATTGCATTACTAGACGGTTTTCCTTTTAATTTCCTGGTTTTACAATTTGGAATTTTTAAAGCATGCACAAAAAATCTACTGAAGTTGAAAAGCGGTTTGCTAATATATATGCGTTTTTGAGCGGATTATAATATACTTTTCGGTAGTCAGCAAAACTATGATTCCAAAATAATATGAAGAGTTCTCTATTTGAGCTTCATTGACGAAATATCATTTTATGAAATAACCACTTTCATGATTTCCGCATCTCCATGGACGCCGATGTTACGTATAGCTTTCAATGATCTGATTCTCTTGGCGTAAGTGAATGCACTACAGCCATTTATCTCAACGTCAAAACCATGCTTTCGTGCTGTTATTTTTGCCTGCAAAAGAAAACGTGTAAAACAAGACCAAGAAACCAAGAATGATTTATATATATATATTTGTAAATAGAATTGAATATTCAAAATAGAACTTACCACGAAGGGAACGTCTTTGACAAACGGGAACGGAAATTCCAACTGCCGTTCTTCAGATCCCCATCCTCCATCCTTTGTATTTCGTACGATCTCATCTTCACTCAGTCTTGGGTTGAAATGGAAATGAATTTTGTCACCTTGACAGAAATCGACAGTAAACCTAAATCAAATTGAAGAAATAAAATTATTATTATTGTGACAGTTTAATAATGTAGGCCTACTATTTTATTACCACCTCATGATAAAAAAAGATTTAAGTATAGGGAAATCATACTTTTGATAGCTGTAAAACAAATTCTGGTGGCAGAATCTTGCACTACGTGATACAAGCATAGCACATGGCACAATTACAAGGAGATTCTGCTCGTGGGGATAAAATAATAAGAGAGACGAATTGTTCACATCACAAACCGTTTGGTGTTTTTGGTGTTAGGTGAGAGCCCCATTTAGCTAATTTTAAATTCCCAGCCTTACCTGCCGTCAGAGTCATTTGGCTTACCATAGATGGTAACAGAATGATTTCTGATGTTAAAAAATGGCACCTCAATATTCAGTGGAGCTGACTGAAACATAACGGTTGCAAAAGGTTAATGATGAAAATAAGGATTAGTTTATGTGTTTTAAGAATGGTATTATTCGCAATGGAATGTGAAATTACACGCAAAATTGTGGTTTTACTTCTATGGTAAAGGAGAGGAGACAGCTAATAATATCCAAACGTATATTTCTTCGCTTTAACACATAATTTGAGTCCGATTTAGTGCGTGAAAGTTTTCAATGCTCGAGGTCCCTTATTTGTAAAGTATTGGAAGCCCACTTTAATCCTCAATAATACCAACACCGAAATAAATGTAAATTTTGTCAAAGACTTGAGACTAACTCATGTTGCTTCAATTATACTCACAGGTTCATCAAAGACTTGAACAGGGACGTCCTAGAAACAAAAACAGATGAAATATGAATATCTTTACGTGAATTTGTGTAGAACATAATTAAAGGACATCGGGGCAAAATCGTCTGTTTTTGCTTCTGTTCAGGTCAGCTTAGAAAAACTAGATTATATTGTAGTCGACCAGAATTATTTTTTTATTGTAGTAATGACTTGTAGTTTGAATTTCTCTCATTTCAATACTTAAGTTCTAAATTGATTTTGCACATTTAGTGAGTGACCCAGAAGGTAATTTCCAAGAAAGTTACAGATACTCGGAACATTAAACGCAAATACGTATTTCACTTACCAAACCTTTTATTCCAGAGCATACAAGACTGATATCACAATTCTGTGCCACTTGAACATGGGTTATAAGCTTTAGCGGGATACGATGTTTGTATGTTGCAAATAGTTTGTAACGATTGATGAAGATCTAAAATGCGTTACAATTATTTTGAAGTTTTTTTGGTTTTGTAAAATGTAAACGAATATTGGATGAATATTCTTCGAAATATTATCGTCGTTGTTTATTATTCTTATTGAATGAGTCTCAAAATTAATATCGTTACATTTCATAGTTCCAAATTTTTCTCATTATCGACTCTTTTTTCCATATACGGGCAATGGCAAATTTCGAATCAACTACGGCATTAATATTCCCTTTCCATTGAATGCAAGGCAACATATAAAAGGAAATCTATTTTACACTGATACTAATACGAATTTATGAATAGATAAAATTGAAATGGAATAAATCAATGACATTATGCCATATAAAAAAAAGTTTTAAAATAGCGATTTGATGATGATGATGATGATGTATTTTATGCTTTTAAATTCCGTATACTAATTGGAACAAACCTCAAAATGCTCCTCTCGGCAAACGATCCAGATCGCAAACTGCCTTCCGGGTTTCTTGAAAGGAAATTCTTTATCTCGTTCTTCCCCACCCCAACCCGAACTATCTCGGGTGTTTCTTACAACAGTTTGTTGTTCGAAACGCGGATTGATGTGTAGAGCAATTTGGTCGTCAGCATCGGGTCCACAAAGAAGATTTACCGCAATTCTTAAAGTTAAATAGAGCAAATGTAATACAACAACTAACGATAACAAAATTCTGTAGCGCGGAATTATAAGAAGAAATAGAGTGCATTATGAACACAGTATAATCAGATCTTTCAAAAAAAAATTCTAAGTTTTATTACATTTCATTTTTTTCCAAGATTGAATTCTAAGATCTGGTTCACGAATACGCTCATCTCATATATAGCGCAGTTCATGGCGTCAGATATAAATCACCTTCCTAATAAAAATTGCATTACTTCATGACGTTTCATATACACCTGTTTGGCCATTTGGAAATGGATTCACAACCCACAAACATTTCGAAGATTAAGATGTTTTGAAAAATTAATGTGAAACTCAATAATTTCTTTTTTTTTTCGGGAATCTTTCTCTGGCCGTTTGTAAAGAGACGCGAAGCAGTAGTCAGTCAAGGGAAACGACGAACCGAGAAACTATACTTGGGGATATAAAAAGAGTTGCATATTAATCTTGGGAAGGAGAAATAGTCAATAGTTGGTTTAAATAATCATATAGGGGGCCACGACCTTCAGACTAGTTTCTGAGAGTCGCGCTCAGGAATTTCAAACGCTTGACACGGTGCGCCAACTGCCGGGAAACGTAAAGTCAATGTAAATGTAATATCTCACCTGCCATTGTCATCTTCATGAGATTTTCCATAGACATGAATTGTCTTCCCAACAAACATTCCATTAATATCTAATACGCTCCCAGTTTCCTTTAAAAAAAATCAAAATGAGTCAAAACATGACAAATAAAATGCCAGTTTTTAAATGTCCAAAATATTCAAAAAGAATAAATCAAATAATTACCGGATTGAATGCTGGTTTCATCGCCATAATGGTGTAGTTGTTTATCGCAGCCAAGAATATGTTACATAAACTGTAAAAGAAGAAGTTACTTCAATATCTACTTACTCATATATGTTTATCTATATATATCGTTTAAATCCTATACGCAGAGGTATTCTCCTGCTTATAAACACCCTCAAGTCATCGCCTAACCGTCCTCGTATACTATTAGGCGAGCTGTCAATATACAACTATAAAAAGAGTTATCTTTTTTACCTAGCAGATTTGGCACAAAAAACACTTATTAAATCTCAACGTGGCGTGCAAATAATATTGGTCGACGCCCTTCGCAGTAACTTTCCTACCCTTGTATAGTCAATGTGGTTTCGTTCGGCTTCGTGCACATAAATAGAAAGAACAATGGAGTGAAAGTACTAACACGGATAAAAAGGCAACGTTTCGAGCCAATAACGCGATTCAAATCGCATGACTGAACGGTTAAGTCAGCGAAAACAAAGAAAAATTTCGTTCTTATTAATATACACGTGAAATATAGGCAATTCCTCTCACATTGATCCATTAGTTTGATCATTTTCATTTACAATCTGATTTTTTAGCAAATTTTTTTTATTTGTATATATATGACTTGTTTGGTAGGTCGGTCGCAACTGACGTTATCTCATATTTTATTTATTCTAAAATGTAATATCCGCCAGACAACGCGCTACTTGCCGAGCCATTAGTATTAATTAATTCTAACTGACACAATTTCGACATTACAATTGTTAGTTAGGGTTACTGCACTAAATTACGTTAAAAAGTATTGGGGGAATAATACGGAGAGTAGGGCCAGCTTATCCTACAGTGCCGCTCAAAAACTTGAAATGTATCTAAAGGGCTGCGTGTACCCCACAACGGCCAAAACTTCAAGTCTTCAAACTATCTACTTTTCTGACTTGAGTAATGAGTGCAAATATTTATTGATAGACGGCCACACCCGCGGTAAATATTATACTGTATATAGCCTATACATTTTATGTTCTGATAGCACTGAAACACGTTGTGTATGCGCAAGGTGTTGAAATATACGTGCAGACCCTAGAAGCTATAGACTCCGTGCTATAAAATATTGCCGATTTTCCATAGACAAATATTTGCCAAGACAGAAATATACAACGGAAAATTTCGTGGAAAGAGCTCATTTTAATGCTATTTAATTGGACTTTAAATTTACAAAATTCGCTAATTATTAGCTTATAATAATGGTCGCTTATTGCCATTCTATCATTAGAATTCTCTAGTTCTGGGGATGCGCGTGATCTTGCTTCAAATTAAACAAAAGAGCAATGATTACATGTATGAACAAGAGTACCAAATCAAATCTTTTTCGGTAAACGTCAACAGTACTGTACCTGATCTAAACTCGTTACACGGTGCGCACTTTTCACTTGTGTTGGAGTCATCACACACAACTTCAAAGTCTCGAAACAACACTCAAAATTTCAAATCAATTGGTAGCCTACGTGGTTTTTTCACAACAACAAGGGGAGTACCAAGATCAAAAAATACTAACAACGACAACATAACATAACAAGAGAGCTATGCTCAAATATATGGACACGTAGCCCAATGGCAATAATTTTGATGACGTCATAGCGAAAAAAAAGTAATAGCCTTCTGGAGAAATTTTTTATCTTTAACCACTGAAAATTTCAAAGCAATTGGTCCAGTATTCGAAGAGAAAAGTGATTTTTTAAAAACGTATCAAAGAACAAGAACAACAACAACAACATAATATTGAAACGATCGTTATGTCCACTACGTGTCCAATAACAACAAAATTTTGAAACGAACGTTATGTCCACTTCGTGTCCAATAATAACAAAACGATCCATAGGTCCACTTAGTGTCAAAAAATTTAGGTTTGCGCGAACAGTGTAGTAAGTATAGAGCTATACATCAAACTTTCCGTCATTTAGGCATACGAGTTAATTACGATTAAACGACCACGATCAATTCATTTGGAATACAGTAGGCCTACAAGGTGACATATTATTGATTCATTAGTTTGATCGTTTTCATTTATAATCTGATTTTTAAGCAAGTTTTTCCACCTTTGGCAATTCAGAATTTTACCCTGTTTGACAGAAAAAGGCGAGCTGTAACTAAAATTCAGTTGCATATATATTCTCAATATTTAGAACCCATCGCTGGATTATGAAACCCCTCGCGAAACTTTTATATTTGTATTTTGTATATGATTTGTTCGGTGGGTCGGACGCAACTGATGTTGACGCATCTTTTATTTATTCTAAATGTAATATCCGCCAGCCAGAAAGTTGAAATGTATCTAAAGGGGTGCGTGTACCCCACAACGGCCAAAAAGTAGGGTAAAACTTCAAGCTATCTACTTTTCTGACTTCTGACTTCTGACTTCTGAGTCATGAATGCAAATATAAATATTTATTGATAGACGACCGCACCCGCGGTACATGATATAATGTTGTATATAGCTTATACATTTCATGGTCTGGTAGCACTGAAAGACGTTATGTATGTGTATTGTGTGGAAACATACGTGCAGACTCGTCGACTTTTGTGCTCTTTTTTATTTTTTCAAATAAATTTTTCTCGTATTAGCAGTGGCATAAGCTATTTGATTTCACTAGACTGTGACTCATAGACAATTATTTGCCAAGTTGGAAATACACAAGAGAAAATAACTTTATTTTTTCGTTCATAAAATCATAAATTCTGTTATATTCAATATAAATCCAATAAACATGAAGCGATCTATTTTTACTAATCACTTCTGCTTTCCGTTTGCTATTTTGATTGGACTTTCAATTTACGAAATTCGCTAATTATTAGCGTATAATAATGGTTGCCTATTGCCATTAGTTCTGGAGGATGCGCGTGATCTTGCTTTGAATTAAACAAAGAGCAATGATTACATGTATGAACAAAAGGACCAAATCAATCTTTTTCAATTTACGAAATTCGCTAATTATTAGCGTATAATAATGGTTGCTTATTGCCATTAGTTCTGGAGGATGCGCGTGATCTTGCTTTGAATTAAACAAAGAGCAATGATTACATGTATGAACAAAAGGACCAAATCAAATCTTTTACGGTAAACGTCAACAGTACGGTACCGGATCTGAACGACTTTGCAAACCTGTTACAGGTGCGCACTTTCAATTGTGATAACGACATCACACACAACTTCAAAGTCTCGAAACAACACTCAAAATTTCCAATCAATTGGTACATGATTATTTTTCACAGCAACAAAAAAAGTATAAAAACATACCAACAACGACAACATTATAATAACAAAACGATCCACAGGTTCACTTGTTGTTTAAAAATTTAGGTTTACGCGAACAGTGTAGTATGCATTGAGCTACATCAAACTTTCTATAATTTAAGTCTATGAGCTAATTACGATTAAACAACCACAATCAATTCAGTCAGAATACAGTATGAGGTGACATATTATTAGGAGTACCGAGTCAAGTTCAATTGGCTTCATCTGCGAATCTATATATTTCTAATATATTAAATAATATTTTTTGTATTTTTCACCACTTACCTCCACTTATTCAAAAACACGGGAAATAATACAAAATAAAGTTTTCAATAATTTATTTTTAATATCATGACCCGTTTTACCAGTTATCTATATAGGTCCTCGTTCCATTGTTTCTTCATATATTATATATCTTATCAAATATATTTCTAGAATATGTCGAAAAAATGGATAGACATTATCATTGACTATGAAAGAATTGTTAATGTAGATTTTCAATTTCAGTAACTATGCAGCTAAGACACCCATGATAATATCAATTGTAGTTCAAGTCAACAATAAATTGCTGAGCCCATTAGTATCTACTGATCATTGATTACAAAAATATAAAACTAGTAATATATTTGAGTTAAGAATTCATTTGTATTGTGATTGATTCGAACAAAAACACACAAAAAAACCTATACATATTTTGGCAGATGTTCAAATAAAAAATACATAAAAAATAAATAAAACATATATATAGGATTTTTGATTTATCAAGGCCAGCGGTTATCTGACCATTAAATTCGTAATATACAATGGATCCTTATCGTTCTATAAATAATAAATATTTGTGCATTACTTAGACGTGGCTTGAGCCAGTAGATGTTACCCGATTGGATGTTGTAGAGCCGCGGTTCCCAACCGGGGGCTCGTGGCCTCCAAGAGGGCCACAGAGCAGTTGGAGCGGGACCAGAATGCTAGGCGCAAAACTGATTTTACTTTTTACTTCACTCCCGTTCTTCCTAGTTTCATTGCTTGATGAAATTATTTCACAGGGTCTTCCCACTTTGTTGAGCAGAAATTGTTTGAACATAATGGAATTTTGAATCTAACAATCGATAAAACACTATAAATACCACAGGAATGATACACAGGGGGTTGCGACTTGTGAGTGATATAAATATTCAGGAGGCCACGACTTCACGAGCCATAAAAAAGTGAAACCACTGTTGTAGAGCAAACAGCAACTAAACGGTCAGTAACTTATGAACACATCTAGCGGCACTTCTCTTATCTTTTTCTTCTTCCTAATTCTCTACCATTGTTTTATTTTGATCGCAGCATGGATTTTCTTGATTCCTTCATGGCCCTCGATCGCAATCTAGGTCACGATGATTTCAGTTCTAATATAATAATTTGTTTACCTACTTCCCCTGTCGACCCTGTTTTTGATTTTTCGTTCAGGGATCCTTATCAGACTAATATTATATATATTTTGTTTAATTCAGATTTTCTTCGTGTATCTTTATCTACACTCTATTTTACACTAATACATACTTACCTATGTGGTTCATTGTTTAAAATGATATTTTTGAACATGTGAGTCAGTTTGTAAGCGCAAACTCTCCAAAATACTGCTTCTGCTATAGCAGCTCACAATAATATAAATTTCACCGATGCAGGGTACCGTAGATTGTAGAATAAACAGCATAACGTACATGCGATTGATAAAACTGTAGGTAGATTAGAACATAGCTAAGGTTCTCGAATCGAAATTCCTTAATTTTGGAGAA